AGTGGCTTTAATAAAATTAGATGATGGGAAAGATAATGTAGTAAATGTTTCTGTGCTATCATATTTAATACAAAATATCCATAAACCTTAAAATGAAAAAAAAGGATGAAAACCATTTTTACATGTTTTAGATATGTGCTTACAGGCTGAGTACACTATGCAATTATTAATGTTTTGAATAGCAGAAGCATACTCTGATATATCTGGAAGCCCATAATGAACATTTACAGCAGGTTTTGTACAGTCCTAGCTTTTAGATTTATCTTCCTAGGCATAGAGAATGTTTTGTTGCTGTGCATTTTATGCATGTGTAACTTTTAGGTAGAAAAACACCTAAGGTTATGGTTGCACTCAGTTTATCCAGCAGGCAGGAAATTATTCTGTCATTCTACAGTCTACTAGGAAAAATTTGCCATTCCTACATCACTTAGTAGGGAGTCATTTTCATTGCTGACCTTTATCCATTCAGTGGGAGAGGAACCCAATAAAAATGTAAGTACAAGTCTTCATTCATTTCATATTTCCACAATTTCTTAGTTTAATTCTTCTGTGGCCTTTATATCCTAGTTCTTAGCTTCCGAGGATTACGTCTTAACGATAGTAAAATCTGATTCTTATTCAGATTCCAATTGCATACATTTCAAAGTCTCTAATATTTTCACTAGTTAAAGAGAAAAAAGAAAATATCTAGAAATTTCCAACAGAAGATAGCTATTGTTCAAAGAAGCACAGGCTTTTGTTTTTCTATTGACTCTTCAAAAATGAATGCATGTATACGGAAAGAGACAACACTTCAAAAGAAATCTTGGGGTTTTTTTCCCAAGCAAATACAAAGCTAGGATGTAGTATAGTAAACTGCCACAGACTACCTATATCTAGACAATCCCCAGCATGTGGCCAGTCTTATTTTACCACTGTACCCGCGTGATTAATTTACAGCAAATTTCTCACATTATGTCATTTCGTCTATCCATTTCAGTTTGTGTCACAGAAATATGAGGGAGAACTGCCCTTCAGAGAGTATGCACCATCATTATCCCTTAAAACAGTAATATTTCTCTGATATCAGGCAATTGGTATTATTTCTCCTTCTGTCTGATAATCTTTTTTTTGGGGGGGGTTACTGGGGCTCGAACTCAGGACCTTGCGCTTTCAAGGCAGGTGGTGGAACCACTGAGCTAAATCTCCAGCCCCTGATAATCATTTTTAAAAAGAAGTTTAAATCAGGATCCAGACAAGATCTGTGAATTGTGATAGTATGATTGGTTAATTTGTCTCTTAATCTCTTTTAATCTAGATTTCAGATTTTCTTTTCTGTTTTTTGTTTTGTTTCTGTTTTTGATTTTGGTTCCTTGCAATTTTTTTTTGTGGGGGGGTAGTTTTAATCATGTAGCAGTGGCTTCAGACTTTTGTCTCATGTCTCTACAGTTAGAGGTGTTTAAAAGGTCAAACAAGTATTGTTTGTATGGGTACTGTATTAGAAATAAATTTGGACTATTTATTTTAAAATGACAGTAATAAACCCAGTATGTCATATTATGTGAAGGTACATTTTTTATGAAAGATAGTCATAGTTTCAAAATAAAAAGTATGTGAGAAAGGTGGCATTGTTTCACACCTCTGCAGATCTGTTTAACATCTAGCATAATAGGAGGAGGCTGGATTCCTTCAGCTACTTCTCCGTTGTCTGTTGCCATACAGTGTTTTGGTTGAGGTACAGTTTATGAAGAAAATCTGGCCTCACGTAGATAGCTGGTGTGATTGAACAATATGTCGAATGGTTATTACCTTAAAAAATGCAGGAGAAGACACATTACCATTAATCTTCCTCAGAATACGCCCCCTCACTTCAGGCACGCTTAACATGTTATTCTTGCCACCCTGAAGCATTTCAGGAGTCCTTTGCCCTGAGTTACACTATGCGGCTGTCTCTATGTCCACAGTTGATTCAAAATGTTTACTTTTTGTGGTTGTCTCGACTTTGGAGAAGAGCCACAAGTCCCCTGGTGCCAGATGCAGTGAATGAGGTGGATGGGGACTCAGGGTCATGTTTTTGTGAACCTGCCTTTCCAGTGCATGGTGCCTGGCAGCAGCAACACCGTATTTTTAATTGCCATATATTTTTGCTTCAGAAAGTGGTGAGAACAATGGGATAAGGTGTGTTTGAAGTGAGGGGGATATTCTGAGGGGGTTTCCAAGCAATACATCTTTTACTTTGGTACTTTATAAAATTTTAATATTCACCGTGTATTTTGATCACCCCTTGTAAAGCAGTTAGAAAAGAGAGAAGTATTTTATTGGTCTTTACAATTATAGTGTGCATTCTTCTTTGACACCACGTGAAACTTGCCAGGTGGTAGTTTCTTGGAGGTCAGTTGAATGTGTAGTTTGAAGTCTCACCAGAGAGCTTTTCAGACTCTGGTGCATTAAAATCCTGCGCTCTGGAGTCTAGCTCAGTGATTCCTGCCTCACAAGCACAAGGACTCAAGTTCGATTCCCAGTACCAAAACGAAAAAAATCTGGCAGTCGGTCTGGGGCTTTGGCTTTGACTGGATCCCTTAAGCATGCATAGTTTGGTAAAGGCAGAAGACATTACTGTGCTGCACGGTGTGGGTTTCCCGAATGCTGACACATTTAGTAACAAAGCATTTCCATCATCCCCCATTCTTAGCACTGCCCAGCTACCTCCTCAGGGAAGCGTTAACTAGAAAGCCATCAAATTCATGTTGTTGGACATAAGTTTTCCAAAATCTTGATTTTCCTGTGAATGCTCCAGTTTTATCGTTAGCAACAAATACTGTCTGTGTTTTTCTTTGTGGGACCGGCTTACATCATTTACTTTTGGCACAATACTTGTCAAATACCCAAACCCAAATAAATACAGTTTGTTAAGTGAAAATGGCATTTCATATAAAAAGCCTGTTTAGCTTGCGTGTCACATAATTCACAGGCGCTTTTTTCTTTTTCTAAACCAGGAGTTGGTTCCCTTGTGCCCTCAGAAGATGGCCAGTGAGGTGTTTATTTGTTTGTTTGTTTCTATTTGAGGATCATTGTGAGCTCATGGTTTTAAACCTACTGGGTGGGTAGGCTTCAGTACACTGCAGCTGACATGGATGTACCTGCTTTGCCATATTGTGGCTGGCAGGAGCCCCGCTGGGTGGGCCCTGAGTTCTTGTGTATGACTCTCTTATCTTTGATAATAACTTCTTTGCCTTCTTGGTTGACAAGATGCTCCGGGCTCATCTTGGACATTTCCTGCTATTGAGCAGAAACCTGTTCCATCTCTGGGGAGATTTGGGAGAAATGGTATTTAGATTCCACAGTTTGAGTACCAGCCTGCTCATTCAGCATGGATTGGTGATTATTTCCAGACTTTTATCGGTGGATAAAGGAAGAAAATATGCATATTTTTAAAGTAAAATATATGAATTCATACTGATACTTTCCAATCAAATTTAGGGTCCAGCGATCCTTTGTCAGTTGTGTATGATTCCCAGCCACTTGCTTGTTTTCTCTCAAACTAACAGATGACAGTTTCAGAACACTTTCAGTATTGCCACGGATGATGTGATTATGGAAAGCTAACTGCAAATTCATTTTGCCATTTAAAAACTGAAAATAAAGATATTATCACAGTTTGACTAGCCAGCTTGGTTATCTTAACATAGCCTAATTATTAGTGTTTTTGCTGTATATTTTAAGATTCTTTTCTTGTTTCTTAGAACAACAAACTGGCAGATATTTCAACTGAATTGAATATTGGCTTTCTAAAAGATCCAGTCACATTGTCCATTTGTGTTTAGGGAGCAGATACTTAATTGAGAAACTTAGTATATGACAGTCAATAATGGACTGAATTTTCTTGTTATTTTCAGCTATCAAAATGGCCTCTTTTATGTTTATCAATATTTTATTCAGTGGTGCTCCCTTATCCATAGTTTCAATTTATCAGCTTTCAGTTTCCTGAGGTCAGCTGCAGTCTGAAAATAGTAAATAGAAAGTTCCAGAAATTAGTGATAAATTTTAAATTACATTCTGCATAGCATGATTAAATCTTGTGCTATCCTGTCCATTCCTGAATCCTCCTATTGTCTAGTGTGTCCATGTTGTATATACTACCCCACTGTCAGTCACATAGTAGGTATCTCGGGTATCACAGAGCTTGTGTTCCAATAACCCTAATGTTACTCAGTAATGGCCCCAGGCCGGCAGAATACTGGTGCTGACTATGAATATACTGACTTTGAATATGCCAAAGTCAAGTCAGAAATTATTTCATATAACCAAGAAGGTGAAACATCTTAATAAGCAAAGAAACCCAGGTCATGTGCTGAGGTTGCTAAGATCTTCAATAAGATGTTAATCTCTTATCTGCCTAATTTATAAATTAAACTTCATCACAGGTATGTATGTGTGGGAAACAAAAACATAGTTATATTTAGGGCTTGTACGATTTGTGATTTTAGGTATCCACATCTCCCAAGGAGAAAAGAGGACTACTATATAAATTCTGTTTTTTATCCATACCTACTACCATTCCACTGCCAATGAAAAACAAAAGCTTTCTTAGAGGGCAAGGAATTCTACCTATATGGCATCATGCATTTAAAAAAATTTTAAGTGAATGTACTATCAATCAGTGAGTTCCTCTTCTAAGAACAGCAGAAGTGTACTGTAACACTCCTCTTTCTTCTGTACTCTATTAGAAATTGCCCTGGCTGGGAGAAAATGATAGATGCGTGTGTGCACGCATGTGTTTTCTTCAGTGCCGGGGATCGAGCCCAGGACCTCACGCGCTAGGCTATGTGTCTAGGCTGTCTCTGTGCTACATCCTCAGCCTCGTTAAAGATATTTTTGATGTGCTTGATTTAGATCTGTAGATAAGGGATCTGGTGGGCAAGAAAATCATATAATTAAGGGAAACTGAAATAATGATCATTCAGTTACAAACTAACTTGCCAGTGGAATTTTTAGTGATTTTGCTTTTTTCCTCCTTTGAGGTCAAAAAAGAAATCATGACTGAATCTGCCTCTAGCACAAGCGGTCAAGAGTTCGATGTGTTCAGTGTTATGGACTGGAAAGATGGAGTAGGTACCTTACCAGGAAGTGACCTAAAGGTAAGCCACCTTTATTACATGTAATTACGTGTGTACGTGTGCTGCACATCTGTGTTTATTTTAAAATAAATACACATGTGAAATAAGATTTAAAAACATCAAGTGTAGTGCTTCAGGTTTAAGTAATGCTTAGATATCTGTAATAAACTCTCATGACAGTTTGAAGTGCTGGTGGACTAGCAGAAACGTTTGTCACTTGGGTAGTTCTGCAGCCTGTGTTTATTTTGCAAATTGATCTATATGACTTAGTTTTGACTCTATCGTGATGGCCAATTAAGGCAGAGGTCCTAGCTTCTTGGAGTATTGGCTTTGTAATTGAGTAACTACATTCCCTGGGTCCTAGTGTTCTCATTTAAAAACTCAATAAAATAATGTTAAAGTGTTGAATAAATAAGACTGTTCATTTCCCTTAAATTAGTTACAGTGTAAATAATGGATTTTTGTACAATCACATGTTCAGTAGCAGGTGATTCCTATAAGTCAGGTTGATGAGAATGCTCTTCAGGAGCTTCATTCAGTCAGTCTGTTGCTTTTATAGGTGCTTGCTCTAGACCCTTTCCAGCCCCCCAAAGCCACGCTGGGGCCGCCTCCACTGCCCCAAGAGACATGGTTGTGCAAACACGCCTCTGGGGACACGGCTACCCCTTTCTCATTTCCGATTTGCTTTTCCTCTCATCCTATCGCTGAGACCTTGAACCTACCCGTGGCCCTTTAGACTTTGAATTTGTACTTGGTCATCCAGGTGTTTGAACTTCTCGTCTCCCTGCCAGGCTGGCACTTGGCTGGCCTTTGCAATGCTTGGTCGGCACTGCCTCAAATAGAAATTTCTGCCCTACAATGCAGGTTTCTTGGAATCTAATTCCCCCTGGTGGCTGTTTGACCGGTATCGTAGCCAAGCCTGCCCTTACTATTCCACAGTGGTGCAGTTTGGAAAGACATTTGAGGTTTTAGTTAGCTTCGGTTTAGTTAAGTGCAGTATCGAGACATCTGAAGGGTAAAAAAATGTGATGACATTTCATGAAATCTGGAGAAGGGGTGGATTTTTCTTAATGGGCACCAAAACAGTTAGATAGGAGGAATTAGTTCTAGTGTTCTACAGCACAGTAGGGTGACTGTAATCTTGAACTATATACATATGGTATTTCAAAGTAAAACTGCAGAGTGTACAGTCCCCTCATACATAGGAATGATCAATACTGGAGGAGATGGAAGTGCCTCTTACCCTGATGTGATCACTGTACATTGTATACATTATGGAATTATATACCAGACCCTGTAAATATGCAGAAATATTATGCATCAGTTAAAATTATTTTTTTAAAAGAAATTGGGTTTTTAGTGACCTTGACCAAGTCAGTTTATCTCTTTGGGGATTTTACCTGCTCTAACACTTCCAAATGCCCATCTGCATACAGTATGCCTGCGTTTTGAAAATTTTTGAGAGAAATATTGTTTCTTAAACTCTGATAATGTCAACCACATATTGACCACTGGAGCTTTGTCAAATTATCTTGTACATGTTTATCTCCTTATTTTCCAGTAGCTGTTTCTTTCAGTGTCAGGTGGATGATGAAATTTGTAACTTTTGTTGAGTTAGCATTGACATTAAAGTTCCCAACCCTAAGTAATTTGGATTGTTTTAAGATTTTCTAAGCAATGAATTATAGGTAATTACATCATTAATCAGGTAATTAAACCATTTAGTGGGCATTGTAATCTGAATTATTTGTTATGACTTTTTGATTCACCTAATTACTGGGATGATTGCTGGGTATCCAGGTCATTTCATGTTCTCTGTTGTAGACAATTCAGTATGTCACTTTAAAAAATAATTTAAAAATTACTTTCAACTCTATCACCCTTTTGATCTGAGATTTAGAGACCAGCCCATTGATTATATTGCTTAGGATTTTTAATTCGTGTGCATCTTACATTAAAACCTAAGTTGCCTTAGAGAGCTGATTGAGAAATTGATTTTTCTTGCAATTAAAATATTGGAAAGAGCTTTGAATAAACCATGACTATTCTCTCCTACCATGCATTGCCTGTTTCACACTATCCAGGCTTCTGGTTTTTAGTAAGGGTTGTGAATTTTTAAGTGTGGTAGCCTAAGACGGTCAGCCCAAGTTCATTCAGCTGATACGGTCAGCTTGTGCATAAAGGTCAATGTTCTGTTATGGGAGGAGGTTTTTATTTGCTTCAGGTTTTGCTATTTTAAGAGGATTTTCCTCCATGGAAGCCGAGGATTCCTGACCAGTCACATGGTGTCAAGGCATGGCTGCAACTCCGTGAGCTGCAACCGGGACCTTTCACGGCAGAGTTCAAGTCCCTTAACTTTCCCACAGGAGGGTGTGTGTGTGTGTCCATGTCTGTATCTGTATGTTTGTGTCTGTCTCACGGGAAAGAGAGAGAGAGAGATGTGGCCCCTTTCCTTTCTGGCCACATCTCATTTATTCCCCACACTCTGAGCCCCTTTTGCTGTTCCTGTTGCTGGAAGTGTCCCTTCCCCTCTCCAGCTCGGGCTAACTAACCCTCACATCCTTAGTAAACAGGGCGAGACATCTCTCTGGGTGCAGTCGTGGGGAGATGGGGACCTTGCCTGGTGAGTCAAGCCGTCTCTGTGTAATCCTTTCACGGCGCAACGTTAGGCAGCATCTGTCAGGACAGAGTGCTGTACTCATCTGCTCAAGTCAGATACTGGCAGGACTGGGTCTCAGACCAGGCTTCTCCGACATTAAAATGGATTCTCTCAACACTGCTCTGCTGCTGTCTAAAGACTGAGAGCATCTTCCTGTCAACAGAGACGAAAGGAAAGTGTTACAGGGACTTGGAGGCGGCGACAGTTTGTTTCAGCTGGAGAGATCAAGAAGGCTTTGAAAAGCCGGTACCACTGGGCTCCGAATGCTGGGACATAGGCAGCAGTTTCCATGATGACTTCCAGGGGGCAGCAGTGGGAGGCGGGCAGGAGGCGGGCTTCCAGAAGAGGTCACAGCTTTAATTCCCGAACACTGTGATCATTAAAGAGGCGCTTCTGCCTAAGCAAGGTAGGCAGCTTTACCACTGCCTAATTTGTTCTCTTAAGATGCAAATAAGTACGTGTAGATCAGTGTCTCAGGACAGGTAGGTGACTAAATGGCAGTAGGAAGGTGCCTGACAGGGCCCCCTGTGCCTACGTAGTTTATGTACCTGAACTTCTGATGGTGTCTGAAATTTACCCAAAGGGAATTATTCCTGAGGGTCGAGTCCCTGGGTAAGAGGGTGATACTCTCCTGAGAGCTTATCTAGTAAGAATAATTGCCATTTAGCAGAAAGCAACAACCCTGCAACAGCGCAGGCAGAAACCTAGCAGCAGAATTCACCTCACTCTCCATGCACAGTGTGCCTTGCCTTGATTAATGTTTAAAACAGCTTCGTTATCAAAGATCTTTGCCCTTATCACACATTGGTACTGTAATTAGAATTCAGATTTCAACATTGAAAATAATAAAACAAAAATAATACCCTTGGTCATGCCTCTTAATGATCTATTATTAGCAATAAGCAAAATTAGGGCAAAGAAATAAAGAAGAGAATTGAATCAATTCAAGATAGTTCAAGCCATGCCAAACAAACAAACAAGCCCTTAGCCACCCCTTGAATAGCTCAGGTATAATTGTTTGCTGATTGACGTGGGTGTATCCATATGCAGAAAGAGTTACCATGTCAGCTGTCGTGTTTCATTCACTTAGTCACCTTTGTAAAGTTTATAATTTTGTTATTCTTCTTTGTAGAATGGAGCCACTTGACAAATTTTCGTTCTGTTTTTAGGTTAAAAGAACTGATAATTTTAAAAAATAGCTTTGTAAAAGCTTTACCAGTTTCAGGACCAGAGTGTTTAATTGGGAAGAAAAGTTAGGAAATCTGTCAGTATTTCTGCAGATTTATGTATAGTTGGGACCCCAGCAAGGTTGGCATCTGCAGTAGGGGCACTGGGGAAGACTCAGGAAATCCAAGTGGAGAACCCACAGAGTACTCTCTTCCCTGTATGTTTTTGCTTGTGGTGGAGTACTTGGAAAAATGCTTTGAGGTTCTGAACTTTTGAGAGGAATGACTTTGGAAGAGCAGATGTGCATTACTTTTTCCAGTTATCAGTTGCCTTTGAGGATCTGATGAGTCTTAGCCCACCCATATATATATATATATATATATGCATGTACCATCATTTTGCTCATATTTCATCCATCGTGTTTTGAAATCTGTCAGTGGATCTGTGGCTTAGAGGCGCTCCCCATGTCTCTGAGTGATACTGCATTTCTACTTTTTATTTTGACGATGGGTCAGCTTTTGGCAAATAATATTAGGAGAAGGAAAAAGTGACTGAGATTGAATGTTATATGGGGGGGGGGTGTTCACTTTTAGCTTTAAAAGTATTTGAGCCAAACACTGCCGAGTCCCACAGTTCTGCATTTTTACTTAGATGTTATACCCTGTGGTTTTCTTTCTCGGCATCTGAAATGCAAGGTGGCTTGCAGTTCAGCAACAGTTTGAAGACTTCAGCCATGGGATCCTTTTTGTTTAATGTGAATGTTTGAGGCCATTTCTCATATTTTGTATTTGTCAAATAAACACTCATTAACACCAGTAACATTTAATAAAAGTAAAATTACCTGGAGTGAATTATGAAGTTTATGTCTGTTTTTTTAAAATCTTAATTCAGAATTTATTTTCTGTCACATTCTTTAATGGCATTAATTAATAATTATCACAACGGCCTGTTTTTTCTACTCTTGCCCAGTAGATGGTACTGTCAGCCTTATTTTGAAATATTCTGTTTTCAGATTTGATCATTAAGAGTCTGCTTTTTCAGCTTAAGTTATCATTTTCCAAAAAGTCAAGTTATATTTAGTTCTTTCCCATCTAATTACCTTTTACCACTTCCTAGACTAACATGAACTACGTAGGCATTACCTGAGAACTTGGTTTGGAATACAGTAGGGAGAAGACATTCTCACTTCCTCAACTATTTCTAAGTCATTCAGCCTAGAAAGTAGAAACCGTGTGCAGAAAATTGTTTATAGTTCTAATTGCACCTGGTGGAAACAGTAATTCATGTTTGGTGCATATTGGTTAAAATTTTTGACTTACCATCAGACTGTCATTTGATAAAATAAAAATTTAGTTGGCTTGCTAACCAATCGATTTTTCAGGTTGGGAAATGGAGGGCCTTGGTTAAATACTATATATATGCATGCCTGTCTATGTTTTGATGAAAGGCCTAAAGAAGTTTTATTGTCCTTTTGAATTTTGAGTTTCCACCTGTTCATCATCTGTTAAAATTCATGAGTTTCTCCTGCCCTTATGAAGCCAGAAAGAAATGTTTTATAGACAACCAGAAAGAAATCAGAAAACTTTGATTCTTGAAATCATGACTGAGAGAGTGGACCTCCACGGTTCAGAGAGAACAGGTTCCGCACACAGCTACTAGTTACACCTTCAGCACACGGGCTGCAACCAGATTGTTGCACAAGCATACTTTGTTGAAAGCTTGCTATGAGACAGAGGAGATTTTCAAGATTCAGAATGAGAAGTCTGGGAAATCGAAACACCACTCACTTTTTAGGGATAAAATTGGTCATAGCCAGGGGACCTGGTCAGCAGTCACAGCTGTTTCCAGTGGGTTGGGAGGACTCGAGGAGAAGGCGATGGAGAAGTTTAAAGGACTGTGAGGGAGGGGGATGTGTGGTCCTGGGCAGGAGAGCTATCCCGTGGTTCACCCATTCTCGTCTTGAAATATAAGGAGGCATTATTTCCTTTTCCTGAACTCGGTGAGCTTGGTGAGGTAATTTGATTCCTGAGAAAAAAGTAATTTTTTATGAATGGATAATTAAATAAGCAATAAAATGAAATAAAAAACAACTCTTAGTAAAAAATCATGTCTGTAAGGACAATTGAAATACAAGTAAATGGGAACTGTATGGGACAGTGGTGGCAAACCTACGGCACTCATGTTACTTGTTTTTCTTTTAAGACAAAAGGTGTTAATGTATGAGTTATTTTTTCTAAACTAAAACTTCAGTATTGAGGTTTAGTTGTGGTGCTGCCACTTTGGAATAAATAACTAGGTTTTGGGCTGCAGTGTGGACACTCGTCTCTAAAAGGGTCCCCATCGCTGGTATAGAACATACAGCTTCAGTAATAGGTGCTTCGTTATTCTAGTCTCCTTCCCCAATTCCAAAATGAGTAATATACAAAGGTCTTCACATTGGTAGAAGGCTTATCCAGCATATAATTTTAAAAAAATAACTTGTAACAGTGCATTTGCTTAGAGACTTTACGTATCAGCCACAAAATAGTTGCTGCCCTGAGCACTTCTGTAGTTTGCTTCTCTTTACTATGTTGTCTCTAGTTTCGGGTAAATGAGTTTGGAGCCCTGGAAGTTATTACAGATGAGAGTGAGATGGAAAATGTTAAAAAAGCAACTGCCACCACCACATGGATGGTACCGACCGCTCAAGAAGGTAAGAAAGAGCCATTGGGATTTTACTTCTTCCTATGGAAAGATTTGAAATAAGAATAGCTGAGGTTTTATAGTAGGCTGGAACTTTGAGAGTCCTGGATGATTGTTAGGGTCTCGTGTTCTTAGATACATTGCTGTAATGAAATGTTTAGGAGCAGATTTTAAATTTTAAAATAACTATAAACTGCCTTCTTTCCTAATGGCAGATCTGCAATAGCACAAGGTTAGTCGCAAATTATCAAGTCAGTCCAAGTCAGTCGCCTACCCAGGTTCTTTAGCCAAAAGCCTGCCGCTTTGTTTTGCTCATCGACTCCGATGGTTGTAACTAACACCTATATGCTGATGACTCCTAAATCTGTATCTCCAGCCCCGACCTCTCCCCCGAGCTCCAGGCCGGTATTCCCACCTGCCTACTGGACATCTCCACCCGGTTGTCCCACAGGTACCTCAAACTCCACGTGTCTGAAATGCAGCTCATTTCCTATTTCTCTCTCCCCTCCCCCAGTCCTGCTCTTTCTTCTGAAACTCCTATTTCAGTTGATGGTAACGCCATGCACCCAGTAGGCAAAGCGAGAGCTAGAGGCGCCATCCCGAATTCATCCTGCCATCCCCGGCCCTGTCACTTAGTGCTCTTGGTTTTTATTTCCTAAGTGTGTCTCAGATCTGGTCTTCTCTGTCGTCACTCGCCTCTGCCTCAGTTTAGGCCCTCACTGACTCTAACTCCCACTCGAACTATCTCGGGGTCTCTTCAGCAGTCACTGGGCTTGCAACTTCACCTCCTTCCTACTTACTCTTCATCCTGAAGCCAGAGGAAAGTATGGAGATTGCTTATCTGATACTTTGCTGATCTCTCTCCGTCTCTTTGGCAAAACATACAAGGTTCCTGGTGACCTGCACCTACTGCCGCTCTGTCTCTTCCCTCTGTGTCCCCCTTTGTGTGTTGTGTTCCCACCATGCCTGCACGCAGAGTTGTGTGTAATTCCCTGCTTCATCTGGTGGTTTTGTGCTTTCTTGCCTTCTTCATGCTGTTTTTTCTGACTCAAATTCCACTTCTGTCTGTCCACTTGGTAAATCTCTCCTTGGCCTTCACAACCCTTGGCTTTGTATCAGAATGTCCTTCCCTGGTCTCGCCCCAGGCCAAAAGAATCCCTTCCTCCTTTCACTATTTCTGAACTTGTTCGTGCTTCTAGTAGTGCATGCCTCACATTTTGTTCTAAGCATCGGTTTTCTTGCCTGTCTTTTCTTCTTGACTGTGAGCTGTCTTGGGCAAAGTCTGTGCTGTCATTGTGAGTGTCTAGTGTAGATTGGTGCCTAACAAATGTTTGTTGAATGAATGATTGGTAATGACTCAGGCAGAGGATAATGTAGCTTCCTAAATGATTTGGATGATTGTAATTCAAGAGATCTACTACATGAAAAGTAAAATAAGACAGATACTGATTTAGTCAGTTAAGTAAAACAGAATTGCTCATCAAAAGGTTATAAACGTGAAATCCTATAATGACCCTTGTCATTTTTATCAGACATGCTCTTATAGATCACAGTTCCACAGATGGACCATTTCATCTTCTCAATTTAGTCACTAAGGGAGTTTTCTCTAATTTTACTGCGAACACTGTGGGAAAAGCCGTGCACGAGCTTTTTATATCTTTTCTGCCGGTTATTTTTTTGTTGTCTAAATGGTTTGAGTGATTTCCTGCCAAGCCTAAACCCTCTCTCTTCCAGATTCTATAGCTTACTCATTCATTCATTCATTCATTCAACAAACTTTCCTTCTTGTTGTGTTGCTAACCAAATGATTAAAAGAAAAAGTTCACATGTATTTTGGAATGTCTTTTGTCACGGTTTTAATTCTTTTCTCCTTCTTCTCCTCTTCTAGTCTTTTCAGAGAAGACCGGGGTACCTTTCAGGTTGAAGGAACCAGTGAGAGTAGACGGGCTTCAGCTCTGTGAGAACTGCTGTCAGTATGGCAACGTAGAGGACTGTCTTTCTGGAGGAAGCTTTTGCAGCCAGCACTGTGCTCGGCACGTCAAAGACAAGTAGGTTTGGCCTTGTCCCATCTTCGAAGTGGGTTGTAGAGTTCAAGATCATGGTGCCTGAACATACAGAGCTCTTCCGCCCTCTGAGGTCTGGCAGCTTTTCGTGCCCCACCCCTTTCCAGAGCTTTCTCTGGAGACCCAGCCCTTGGAACCTCTGTCAGCCCAGTCTGAGTCGCATGGCTGACGCTCGCCTGCAGCACAGCCCCTGCCCCTGCCTTGGCCTCACGTCTCCATTCCTTTGATCAGCCCTCTGCTGGGAACATTTAGATTTTCCTGGGTTGCACACACATTTTGACGATCCTCATGATTATGGAAAAGCAGTTCTGTTCACATTTGAGAGTTCTTAGGTGACTCAGTCGAAGCTCCACATAGGGAACCAAGCTCCTGCTGGTGGGTTGCAGTGGGTGGGACTGGCCGCGGTAGGTGGCGTGGTGAGTGGTGTCAGGGTGACCTCAGGAAGGCTGAGGACATAGGAGTGATGCGCAGACCCAGGGACCCTCCCCTGCGGGGACGGCCTGGCCAATTCAGCTTCTCAGCAGGAAGGTGTACTTGTGAATGTCATTCTGTGCTATAAACGGATGACACCGCGGTTATGCTTTCGTGTAGCTTCCCACGTATTTTATCAGCACGACCTTGGAGATTGTTTGTGTTGGCCACCTGGTGCTTTCCAAAGTTGCACTTGGCCTTTCCAGCTGGATTTGCCCTTCTTAGTAATAGATCCTGGCTTTGGTATTACCCTGAAGCTAAGTATCTTTAACTAATTAATTCTTTTATTAGTATAGTTGGCAGAGGTGGTAGACAAATAATTATAAGCTTGTTAGAACCTATTTCACATATATTGCTGGGCTCCTTTTGAAATTAACATGCAAGGTAATTTCCACTTTCTGGCCTGACGCATGTCCTGTGTCTTAGTGATTTAAAGCAGTCCCTGTACCTAATATGCTAATGCCTGCCATTTGCTCCTGGCAATGAAATATTTTTCCTTTGGAGAACGATGTCTTAAAAATAATTTTGGCACTGATAATCACCATGTAGATGTTTGATAGGTGTTGTTTCCTGTCACTGTTTGGGGGTTATAAACACAACAGGGATCAGAAGGAAGAAAGGGACACAGGAGAAGACAACGAGGAAGAGGATTCTAAATGTAGTCGGAAGAAAAAACCGAAATTGTCTCTGAAAGGCGACCCCAAGGAGGATGGAGACGAGAGAGAGGATGAAATGGTTAGTACCTCTTCTGCAGCCACCGGGAGTCACAGGACTGGCTCTTGGGCTGGGGAAGTCACGGTCACAACCAGGGCTCTAGGCCCGTTGGCTGAGTTTTCAGTGTTGGTTCTGAAATTGTCATGATCGGCAAGTTCCCGGCTTCTCTATGCCTCGCCATCCTGCTCGCAGGGTAGTAATATTAGACACAGGATCCTTCTCTCCAGCTGAAGAGGTGGAGTATTCTGGGGTGTACTCCTCGGGGAAGATGCAACAACAAAACCTGAAGTTTTGTGGATGAATCTTAAATTCCCCTCCCCAGGAAAATGCCAATCCCATTTTGGTAAATTGCAGACAGATCTCATAAAACTAGGGGAGCAACTAGGAAATGGCACATAAATGTCAAGTACTCTTGGTGAAAGCATTCAAAATGTGCTAATGAGAGCATGAGAATCTTCCCTAAAGTATGTATTAATGATTCCAATATGAAAAGAGAACTTGACCAATGTTGAGCACCTGTTACTGTTAGTCACTATTCTACGAGCAGGGAATACACAGATGAATAACAAAAGTAGAAAGGACCCAGTCTTTGCAGAGATTTTTTTTTTTTTTCCATGCTAGGGATTGAACCCAGTACCTTACACATGCTAGGCAAGTGCTGTTCCACTGAGCTATATCTTCAACCCTTTTTAAAAATTTTATTTTGGGATAGGGTCCCACTAAGTTGCCCATACTGGACTCTACCTTGGCAGTCTTCCACCTCATCTCCCAAGGTGCCGGGATTACAGATGTGCCACTGTACCTGGCACACGGAGATATTTTGTCCTTGTCAGGGGTGCATATAATCAAACAAAACGAATGGTGAAATATCAGCTTACACAAAGTTTGAAATTAAAACAAGACATTAGGATTGGGTTACTGCTGTGAATTGGGTTTTCAGTGAGGCCTCCCAAGATGGGTGACACAAGCACTATGGTCTGAATAAAAGGGAGGAACTGGATCTGGGCTTTCAGGGCAACTGAATATCTAGGGAGAATCCCTAAGATGAGAACATATGTAGTCTGTGGCCTTGATATATGTGAGGAAGAGTAGAATCAGGGAACCAGTTAGAAGTTTCTTGCAATAAACTAGGTAAGAGGGCCGTGTGAGATAGAAGACAGTGAGAGGTAGGGTTGCCAGGGGTTCTAAGACTCTGAGGTTGGATCGAACCATTGGCTAGATAATCACGTCACTTACTGAGAGTGGGAAGGCAAGGCTGGAGTAGAGAATCAGGAGTCCCTCAGCCATCCTGGGTCTGAGATGCTCCTCAGCCAGCCAGGTAGACATCTGTAGGGGGGATCGGATGCAGGCACATGGAGGCAGGCTCAGGGAGGTGGAGACAGTGATTGGGAGGATTTGGCACTGAAGTAACCATGAAGCCCAAGGCTGGTGACAGGTGGGGAAGAAAAGAGACCAGATTGGCAGAGACAGCAGAGGAGCCCAAGAAAGAGGTGCCAGCGAGGTCTGAGGAGAAGCAGGACAGAGCGGACGTGGGTGAGGAGAACAGTGTGGAGGAGGCGCAGCACCCAGGCCCCTCAGATGTAACTGTTGGAACCGATCTTCTTTTCTTATGAGCTCAGGCCGAAAGCAACATGGCTCTCAAGTGAACTGTATTCTTACTTTCTTTAGAAGTTAGGAAGTGAAACTGAAGAAAAGGACAACAATGAAAAAAGCTTTCTGACAGCTCTGTAACTTTACACTGGTGCCAATTTCATGAACTTATAGGTCGTCATTTTTCTTTTGTGCTGTAGGACAACAAGCAGGATGGAAGAGTCCTCAGGGGTTCGCAGAGAGCCAGGAGGAAAAGGCGAGGGGATCCGGCTGCCTTGAAGCAGGGTGAGCTGATGAGAGGATTTGCTTGGAACCTGGGAAACCTAAAGCGATTCACGCAAACAGAAGTTCTTGTCTTGCTGTTCTGCACATGGTTGTAGTTACAGGATTGCATTGGGTTTTTCTTTGATTCAGTTTGTCGGGAAAAATGGGGGCCTGAGGGAGGGTGAAAAGGACAAAGCATGATATATTCATGTATGGAAATGCCACAGTGAAATGCATTAATTTATACGATTAATACATGTCATAGTTATAATAGGACATTTAAGGTTTAAGAGCATTGGGCTATGAAGAAAGAGGAAGTAGGTGGTCATGTTTCTTCATGGATGACGACATTCCCAGAAACCCAAAATCCCTTCCAGTGGATGGGAAAAGCACACTTAACACACGTGCCCCATTGTTTTTCCCATCTATAAGTACATATGTTGACTGGCGTTTTGCTCATGACCTTTGATTCTCTGAATTAAAGCAGCGACTTGAGGAAGAGTGAAATAGGAAAAAAGGGAAAATGGTAACTTGGGAGTGGGTTCAGCCTAAGTATGGGGACATCTTCTTTCATCTACTGATTTTTCCGTCAAGGAGATGGTACTTGTGTCTTTACCCTTGGAAAACCTCTGTCTTTACTCATTTCTCAAGATTTTAGGTTTCCCATGTTCCCTCTCAGAGATACAACCTTGAGCTCTACACCCCTTTTGTTCTCCTACAGTTCCACCAGCAGGATTTTATCCTCTGGCAGAGCCCAGCCCTCAGGCCCTTCCCTTGAATATTTGGCTGGAGAAACTTTTCCCCTTACTTGGAATGGACCTTGGGTTATTTCCCACAGAGACCTAAGAGTCTTCTATTCCACTTCAGCCTATTGGCTTTTTTTCTTTAACTATTCAGTTTTTTCTTTCTTTGTGTCTCTTCTTTGCCTATTCAAGTGCATAACCCAAATACTTTCCCCAACTCTGCTACCCATGAAGTTGTTACACTCCTTCTCTCATCTCCAGTACTTCATCAAATTGATCCAAAATAAAGTTGATATTAACTGCCCCCCTCACCACTTTGAACGCTTAGGTACTTTTTTTTTTAACCTAAAAATCTGACTCTTGGTGGATCAGTTATTTTGTCTGCCTTTAAGCGCACAGCCCTCAGCTGCTTGGTGCCTCAGGGAAAATGCTGTGAGCATCCTGCTTGTAGAAGCTTTCACTTCCTGTGGCTTCCACAGTACTGTTTGTTTTTTGGGGGGTTTTTTTGGTACTGGAGATTGAACTCAGGACCTTGCACTTGGGAGGCAGGCGGCGGAACCACTGCGCTAAATCCCCGGCCCTGCACAGTGCTGTTTTGCTGGCCTTCTTCACCTCTGAGTTATTCTCTTCTTTCTTCTGCCTCTACATCTGTGGATGTTTACCACGGCTCACTTCTCAGCCCTCATTTCCTTGGAAGATGAGCCAGGAAAAGAGACTGAGAAATGCCAGCCATGGAAACAGGAGAGGAACCAGGGAGTGAGAGGCTACAAAATAGATCACTGATTACTCGTAGATTTGGAAATTCTATCATTCCGTCTCACTTGCCTTTCAGGTTTGCCTCCTAAAGGCAAGAAAGCTTGGTGCTGGGCATCCTACCTGGAAGAGGAGAAGGCTGTAGCTGTGCCTGCGAAGCTCTTCAGGGAGGTACGGGCCCTTCGGTCAGCATTGTTATTTCCACTGCCTGTGTAGGGCTGTGACTTGAAGTCGTTTCTCAGACATGCTGCTTTTCCTGTTGCCCCTTGCATACCTCCAAGGGCAGTCAGCACTAACGCACACATGCATGCATGCACACACGGACACAATGCACACACGCGCTGTTTTCCCTCAACGTCTACTAGGCTTGCACTCCTGACTTTGAGGGAGAATCTGACTACTGGAATAGTAGTAAAGAAAAACTGGCATGGAATTTTATGTCAGCATCATGGCTTTGAGAGAGTGGGGTAGGGATTTATATCTTAAAACAGTAAGATATCTAAAAACGGGTTTCTATATTACATGAGCATAAAAGAAATATTTTTTCATAGGTAATTTAAAATCAGTTACAAATGGAGGTTATCGGGTGTAGTTCCGAGGAGGAGCCGCTGCCCCTGGACCGAAACAGAGATCAGTAAGCCTTTTTGTGCAAAGGCCCAGATAGTAAATATTTTAGCTTTTGCAGAACTCCTAATTTCTGTTAGATTGGCCGTGGCTGTGTCCTGGGACAGCTTCCTGAGCAAGACTGGTGGTGGCTGGGTTTGACTCACAGACAGTAGTTTGTAGACTTTTTTAGTTATGGCATTATGTTTCACCACGGTAGGTAATAAATCTGCTGTAGGCGTCTTTTATATATGAATGACTATAAGGAATTTTTAAAAAGTAGCGAATGGTACGGGATAGGATGATTACATCTACATTGAGAATATTTAATTTAGACATAATAACAGCGACATATGAACTTATTCTGGGTAACTTTTCTGTAATTTTGGACCTTTACAGAGCAAACTTTTTCACATTTTTTTGTAATTAAAGTGAGGCTACTTCCTTGCATCAGTATACACTCATGTGATCCAGAGTGTAAAAGGACATGAAGTAAATCCCTCGTGAGGAGCCTGTTCCCTCCTACCGGGTTGTTTCTCCTCGAGTGACTGCTGTGACCAGTTCCTTTATTTCCTTCCTAGAGATCATGTGCACCGGGAGCATCCGCATCCACACAGCCTCCCTCCCTGTCCTACGTGTCCCACACTGCTTGACTGTTGCTGTTTTGCTTAACTTGCCTGTTGGGAGATTATTCCATTTCAGTTCATTAATCCTTTCATCCTTCTCCACTAAGGCACGATACTTCACTCTTGAAAGCTCACTCCATGGAACTTTCAGTGGCTTCCCATTCTCAAGCCTTTTGCTGCTGAATATTCTTGTACACCTGTTCATTTTGCACATGTGTGAGTGTGTCTATTGGTCTTAGAGAAAGAGTTGCCGAATTGAAAAGAACGTTCAGATTTTCATAGATACTATGGCACTGCCAGAGACTGACTCGTTTTCAGGCCCACCACTGACCCTGTCAGTTTTCCAAGTACCTTACCGATACAGTGTCAGGGACTTTATCCATCTTTACCAATCTGATAGGTAAAATAGATCTTAGTTTAATTTGCTTTGTGTAACTTTGGTGGATAAGGTTGAGTATCTTTTCACATGTATAAGACAAAGGCTGAGAAACATTACTTTTCCATGCTGAGACTCGTTTATAGCCTTTGTCCGGTTTTCATCGGTCCTTTTCTTTTGGACTTTTAGGAGTAATTTATGTATTTTCTTAGTCCCAGAATGGCGATTATTCACATTTTTAACTAGGCCTTTGGGGCAGTATTTAAGCTGCTGTCATTTTGCATTGTAGCACCAGTCCTTTCCATATAACAAGAATGGATTCAAGGTTGGGATGAAGTTGGAAGGCGTGGACCCTGAACATCAGTCTGTGTACTGTGTCCTCACCGTGGCCGAGGTAAGCTTCGCCTCATCTTTATTTTTTATTTTTTTGGTATCAGGGATCGAACTCGGGACCTTGGGCTTGCGAGGCAGGCAGCAAAACCACTGAGCTAAATCCCCGGCCCATCATCTTTATTTTTTAAAGAAAATGGTGTTCATGGATTTGTTTTGCTTGAAATACTAGGGATTAAACTTAGGGAGCACTGTGATACATCCTCAGCCTTTCTCGTTTTTTATTTTGACGCAGGCTATTGCCCAGGCTAGCACTGATCTTGAAGTCTTCCTGCTTCAGCCTCCAGCATTGCCTGCATCACTTGGGTCTGCTGGGGCTTTAGTAATGAGAAAACCTCTCATTGGTTGAGTGCTTACGTCATACTAGGCATGGTGCTTAGTGTCTTGTGTACATCATCTCACCTGATCTGTGTCATAATTCTATCCTGTGCAACTCAGGTTTTTCTTGCACCCATTCAATGGATGAGGGAACTGAACTATGAGACATGAACTATGTGTACAAGGCCACACAGCTTCAAGCCGTTACAGAACCCAGATTTTAATGCAAGTCTGTCTGACTCCATAGAGTTTACTGTACTATGTTCCTTAACCTGAGGAACAGAATGATAAATATTTACTTTCTTTAGCATTTTGAGAGTGTCTCTGGAAATTTCAGGCAGAAGTAATTAAGTCAAATATGTGTAATTATATCCATGCATGGTAAGACTCCAGTGGATTACTGAGAATACGTCCTTTGTGTTTTTTCTCCCGGGCTGGCCTTCTTCTTTCTCTTGAGCCAGGGTTGTGCGCCTTTTGGAATTCCCCCCAGAAGAATACCAGTGCTAGTGGTTATCACAGCGCTCTTTCCCTGGCTCCTGTAGGACGGGAGCACACGAGGTCTGGATGGGGGCGATCACCCTGAGCCGTTGCCATGGCTGCCTGGAGCATAGCACGTGCCGGGCCCAGGGCCGAGCAAAGGTTAATTCTTGAAGCAGCAACCTTTCGAGACAGAGCTCATTCTTCATCTTTCAGATGAGAAAACCGAGGCCCAAGAGCTAAAGTCATCCTGCAGTTCCTCTTGTTGTAATTGCCGCGAAGGGCAAGGCTGAGTTTTCATGCATCCGAAAAGAGCCGTTTAGCGGCTTTCATGGAGAGAGTGAGAGTCCTGCAGCTCTCCAAGTTGCTTGGACATTGTGGGTTCTTTCCCTTCTGGACCCTGTGCTGGTCCCCTGTGAGTTGGCAGGGGAGAGCTAGGCTTCATGGTGGGTGAGTGGTGTTTGTCCTTCAAAGTGGATGTGATTCCCAGGGAGGGGACCAGGTGTGTGCTGCTGACCTGGAGCAGTAAGGGCCAGGCAGAGGGAAGGAGCTGGAGAAAGATGCTTTGGTGCAGCTGGAGACAGAAGGGCTGCAGACGAGGAAACCGACCGCAGGGCTTAGTGGAGGAGGGATGAGAAGCAGTGTCAGCGGGGTGGCTGCTGTCCACGACCTGGAAGCCACTTTATCCCCAGCCAGGGCATTTGTGTGAAGTAATCCAGGAAGTGGAGACTGCTTTGGAGAAGTTAGTGCTGGAATAAGAAGGGCCGTTTACTAGTGTGTGTGTGCGTTTCTGCTCTTGGGTTGTGAAGGATATTTACTGTACTTCAGCTAGGTTTTATACAATAAAAGTTATGTTTCAGATGGCAGAAACTTCAGCTAGTGTAAGAGCACTAGTGTCTGTTCCATTCCCCACCCTACATACACTGAATGTGTGACCCAGAGCAGTTTGTTGTGTCCACCCAAGTGTTTTCGGAATGTATGAGATGTGTGCATGGATATCTTTCTTTTTTACCTATAAATGATAGACTACGTGATATTCTGCAGCTTTTGTGACATACAAGGTATGACTGAGTTGTGCAGTGAATATTTAAATTTAAAAACTTTAGTAAAAACACACTGTCATACTCTCCCTCAGAATACCCCTGCTGACTTCGAACATACCTACCCCATCGTTTTTCCCACTTTCTGGAGCAGTTCTGGAAGTCCACTTTCGTTTCTTTCGCTGCACTCTTGCGGCTGCCTCAGTGTCCTGGAATCAGTTGGAAACACTGACCTTTCATGGTCATTCAGACTTTGGGGAAGAGCCAGAAGTCACATGGTGACAGATCCAGTGAATAAGGGGAATGAGGACACAGGGCCCTGTCTTGGTGAGCATGCCTTTGCATTTGGATGGCAGTCGGAGCAGCTCTCACTGTAGTTTTGATCACACCTCATAAAAGACCCTCACAGAAGACGGCTTCCAGAACTGCTTCAGAAAGTGCCAAGTGTGATGGGATAAGTGTATTCAAAGTGAAGAGGAAGATTTTGAGGAGAATTCATAGCAATGTGTCTTTCACTCCATGAATTTTTTCAATATAAACATTCACTGTATATTCTGATCACATCTGGTATATTATACATCTTTTGATACTTTTGTTCATTGGGTAGTACTCCATTTCATAGAATTGTTTTAATTCATTTAACTGTTCTCACATTGATAATAACTGTTCTTTTTCTCATTATTAACAAAAAGTATATGTGAATATTCTTTTTATTTGTCTGTTTTTTCCTATGAAATCCAACCTTAGAATTGCCAAGTGAAACATTACCTTTATGTTTCTTTTTTTTTTTTTTTTGGTACCGAGGATTGAGCTCAGGACCTTGTACTTGAAAGGCAGGCAGCCGCACCACTGAGCTAAATCCCTGGCCCACCTTTACATTTCCGTTGTGTGTTGATCTAAATATATATCAGTTGTTACATTCTCACTAGGGATGCAAGAACATTTGTTTCCTTAAGATTGAGAGACATTATATTTTTTATTTTTTCTCCCCCCTCTTCTCTTTCTGTTTTTCTCTTCAATGAGAAGAAACCATAAAGTGTTTGAAATTCTAGCCACTAGAGGGTTGAGTACTGGAAGGCAGGAGAGAGCTGAGACAGAGGAGCAGGAGGAATCTAGGTCCCGAGGAGGTAGAAGTCTTAGCCAGGAGGAGGGAGAGAGGAGTGATGTCAGCAGCACAGCTGGGCACAGCTGTTCGGAGCCAGGCGTTTGAGGAACTTTTTGACCCAGAAGGTGAATTGTCGCCTGAGAGTGAGGAATGATGGTGATGGGATTGGGAGCCTCAGGAAGATGGCTTGAGGACAACGAAAGATGAGCCAGGCAGGGTGGTACACGCTTGTGTTCCCAGCACCCTGGAGGTCAAGGCAGAAGGATTCCAAGTTCCATCCCAGCCTGGGCAACTTAGCAAGACCTATCTTAAAAAATCCAGAAGGGTTTGGGGTATAGCTGGGTATCCAAGTCAATCCCCAGCACTAGGGAAACAAAATAAGAATAAGACAGTGCTGGACAGGGCTGGCTAAGAGCATTCCCATGCCGCAGGGAGAGCCGGCAGTGGGTACGGCAGATTCTCCCGAGTCCATTCTGACTATTCACGGTGCCGCAGCTCGTGGTCCATAGAGTAGAGCACAGGAGGCCATTGCCTCAGAGGAGTAAGGAGAGCCAGGCTAGGGTCCTGCCTCTGGTCACCATACATTTGCTGATCACTACTTACCTTGTTTATGTATACCTCTATTTAAAGACACATTATTTAGTATATATATCGTTGTTTCATTAATGTTGAACTCAGAGCCAACAGCCTTGTAGCTCACATCTGACTGAAGCTTATGTCACACACGTATTGTTTATGCGAGGCGCATTACAGTGTTCTGGCATTCAGGACTCCTTTTAAAGAGCAAAATCACCAATGAGGAGGACAAAATGTGGAAAACGTGGCCCTAACTACCCCACACGAGGGCACCTGTTTACAGTGTGAGAGACAAAACAAGACTCATTTTTTTCCACTGCTGACACACAGGTCACAAGCAGTGTATTATATTGGTGAAAAATATGCTTTAGCAAGGGGAATTCACAAATAAGCAGTGAACTCTCGAATAATGAAAAGCGACTATATGGCATTCGCCAGATTGGATCTAGGTGCAAACTCAGGATGATGGGATTTTGCTAGGCAAAAAGGACTTGAAAAGGACAATGAGGGCAAAACTTTAAAAAATGTATGATATTTTACGTGATTGCCAGGAAAGGAACCATCAGCATGAGGGGGCTGCTGGGAAGAAAATAGAAGGATGAGTGTGAGCACCGGTAGCTTTCACAGAGATGCAGGCGGGCTGTACTGGGCGTAGCTGGGCCAGCAAAGTGGAGGAGCAGACGATGCCGTCTCAGGGTGGGACTCACTTGTGTGGGCAATGAGACAGCAGTTCCTGGCTGGGACCGGATGTGGGGAACAAGCGTCTGCAGTGAAGAGGAAATGCAGGGCGAGAAGAAACCAGGGTTCTGGTGGCTGTTGCAAGTCCTCAGGACGGGCAGGAGGGGTGAGCTGGGCGCATGTCTGAGGAGCCAGTGGCTGCCCGGGAGGGGAGGGTGGCGTGGCCAGAGGTGGCTCGGCCCTACCCTCAGCCAAGAGGGCTGGACCGCAGGACCTGGTGTGCCCTCGGCGGTCTCCTCGAAGTCTGCGGAGTTGGGCGCACCTGAGGAAAGGCCTCTGAGGGCCGAGCTGGGGAGGCTGTGCGTGTGGGAGACTGTTCACAAAGCTCGGCAGCCCGGAATGCAGAGCACAGCAGAGACCGTGCGGAGAGCAGAGGGAGGAGTCCCGGAGGGCAGAAGCTCGGAGCACTGGGCCTGTCAGGGCCTGCGAAGCTCTGCTTCTGGGCTTGGAGATGACGCCCCAGCTGCCCAGGCCGGGCCGGAGAGGATGTCAGGATGGGGGCTGCCCCTCCTGAGAGATTGTGTTTCCCAGCGATCGAGCCTCTCCGCACTGCTGTAGATTTTATATCTTCAGTAGGGCAGTACCTTTCAATTGAAAAAGTACTAACATATAAAACATAATCATGCGCTTCTCGCCCCTCCTCACTCCCACTTTCGAAAAGAAATCATTGTTAACAGTTGGACAGACAGAATCTGCCAAAAATATGTATACATACTTCAGTCTTTCTTTTCCTGAAATATGTATACATTTTGGGGGGGAACTCTATATTCTTGAAGACTTTTAGTATGAATTTACGTGTATACAGATGCATGTGTTAGTATGTATGTGTGCACATAAAGGGGTAGACTTCATATACACACTAGCATACATACAGAAGTACACAGACTCACTCTCGCATATATAATCTCATAAGTTGACTGATCCTGTATGATTTGTTCTGCCACTTGAGTTTTAATAGAGGGCTTTCCACGACGGTAACTGAATGCCTTGGCTGCACTCGGACTCAGGTGCCTTTCCGTGCGAGATTCTGCTGGACAGGTTTCCTGGAGTGGCAGAGGCCTGCAGCGTGGGCGGCCACTCGGGACACCCCTGCTTTTGCTGGTGGGAAGAACAGAGAGGGGCTGGACTTTCTCTGAGAGAGCTCGAGACAGAACAGGAACCAACTCAGGTCCTGAAAGCCCAGAATGTCCCCAGCTGCGGCCCTGGAGTCAGCTGCAGGGCATGTGTTATGGACACTGAGTTCTTCCCAGGGCTGCAGAGAGCCTTCCTCGCCTGGTCGGGGAGCTGGGAGTGGCTTTTCTCTTCGCCCAGCCCAGCGGCCCATGGAGAGGAGAACCAGTGACTTCTGTCTGTCCCTTGGCAACCTGGGTGTATGGCAGGCAGCCCCTGGCCCTGCCAGTTCTGCTCCTGTACCCTGGCCTGGTGGCCTCCCTGCCTCTGGCCCTGGTGGCTCGTGCTGCTCCGAGTCCGCGACTGGAGAGAGGGTGTGTGTTGTGGGAGTGTGGTTCTTCACCCCAGTCTCTGTGCTCCTGTTGGGACCAGAGCTGTGGCCAGAACACCCCAGCTTAGCTCTCTGCAGTGTTGCTTTTTTTTTTTTTTTTTTTTGGTACCAGGGTTTGAACTCAGGTCCTTGTGCTTGCGAGGCAGGTGCGACAGAACCACTGAGCTAAATCCCCAGCCCATGCAGTGTTGCTTTTAGATGTTGTAATTGTGTGGCTACTTTTGCTGCTGTTAAGGGTGGTCTGATGAACATAGGCTGTGTAGTACCTGATGCCCGTGTTATTTCTGTTCTTGTGTACAAATATTGTGGTTTGTTTCTTTTAATGTCTCAAATACGTCCCTGTTTCAGGTCTGTGGGTACCGGATAAAGCTGCACTTTGATGGGTATTCGGATTGCTATGACTTCTGGGTGAATGCAGATGCCCTGGACATTCACCCCGTTGGGTGGTGTGAGAAAACTGGCCATAAACTGCACCCTCCAAAAGGTAGGGTCACTTTTTGTTTCCTGTTTTGGGAACCCTAAAGACTCATTTTCCTACATGCTAGTTTGGAGTTTTTAAGAATTAAGTCTTTATGATAATTCAGATAGGTCCTCATTCAAGCTTATTATTCACAATAAAAATACGTTTATTAAAGAGAAAGAAAAAAAAGCAGACTCTACCCCAAAAGAATAAACTATGTATTTCCATCTGAAGTAACTCTTGCGTGGTAATGGTACTTAAGTTTGACCATAAATAATTTTTACCTACAAATTTCTATTATTTCATATATATGTGTTCTTGAAAAAATCAACTTGAAAAATTAGCTTTAACTACTTCACATAATTAATTTTATTTAGTCATATTTCTTTGTATTGCAAATCCTGAGCGATAGTGCCTTGAACATACAGATCTTAATATTTAGGAAACTGAAAAGGAGACTAACCCTAAAAATTGGGTTAGGTGGGAGTTGAACTCATAGCAGTTTCTTTCTTTCATTTGTTTGTTCATTTATATTTCATTTTTTGGTGCTGGGGATCAAGTCCAGAGCTACCCCTGTGCTAGGCAAGTGCCTTTCCACTGAGCCATACCCCTAAACCAGTGATTTTGTGTGTTTCACATTTATATAAAGTTCCAAGAAAAACAGATACCATTGTTTTTGGTCCATCACCAGTGTTTCATATGTCCTTCTTTTTCAACTATTATATATTGTGTACTTGATGTCAAAAGTTCAAGTTACTAGTTTCATCATTTTTCTCCCATTTTAGGACTTTTAAAATTTTCTTGGCAGTGCTGGGGACTGAACCCAGGGCTCACATATGCTGGGTAAGCTCTCTGTGTCTAGTAGAGCTATCCCTGCAGCCCCAAGGGCATTGGTTTTTAATGGACTGAGCATCTTTGCTTTTAAGTAAACAATTAATGCCAGAACAGTATTTTCAGATAGTTAAAGGATTAAACAAAAAAACGAAAAAGGTGGTGGTGAAAATTTGTAAGCCTTGTTATAAAGTAACTTCGTACATGTGGGGCATCAAGAGCTGATCTTTTCACTTGCCTGCTGGACTTTAATGAAAGGAAACAAGAGCTAACAGCAGACCAGTAAAATGCTCCATTTCCTATTTTTAAAAAAAGTTGACTAATGAAGTTGTGCAAAATTAAGGCAATGGACATTTCCCTTATTATAATTTGCTAATATTCTTACTTCACAAACCTTGAATTGTCATTTTTTATGGTGATAACCTGAAAAGCTTTTACCTGCTTTTTTATTACAATTTTTTTCAATATTCTATTTGTTCCTATATGTGAGTCTCCCATAATAGAATAGATGAGGGAAAAACTTGACTATCCCAGCTCACTAGTCCAGACTGCTGAGAAATCCTAACTAAATACCGATGGAAGGAACTATATAAAAAGTAAACCCAGGTGTAAAATTTGTTGGTTTCCTTAGTATTTGTTTCCTATTCATTACTGTTTATTTAAAATGAAAAAAAATAGGAAAATTTGTTGATAATAAATACAGCCTGTATCTAAAAAATACACAGTTATAAATTATGAGTTTAATTTTGTATATTGAAAATAATCATTTCATTGATTGATTGGGCATGCTGCAATTAGAAAGGTGGGTTGGAAAAGTAAGTGTAAAATACTTGAATATTGTAGTAAGTCTGTGCGTGTGTGCTTACTCTAGGATATAAAGAAGAAGAGTTTAATTGGCAGACCTATCTTAAGACATGCAAAGCCCAAGCTGCCCCTAAGTCGTTATTTGAAAATCAGAATATAGTAAGTACATACAAATATTTTTTCCTTTCAAAGGAAGTGATTCTTGAGCATCTCATTGGATAAATTACAAGTGATAATATGGAGCTATAATAAATTTTATTGCCTTGGTAAATAGAGTTCTCTTATTTTAATTAAATTTTAAAATTAGTTTAAAATCTACGTGAATAAATATTTTATAGCCAAATTATGGTCTTTATTGAATAATAGAAAGCAACTTAGTACAAAATCCAGGTGTAATTTACAATTAAGATGCACAAGCATTAAATGACTGTGATATTTTATTGTTAGCATCCTTTAATTAGGAGCGTGGTACAGATGGGACTCGCGCAATGCGATGAATGTGGCCCTGTGTGAGCTGACAGGTGGAGGTCGCTGGAGACTGCGATGTTCTTCCACAGCCGCTTACACCTTTATCTGCCGTGTAGCATCAGCAAAGGCTGGATGTGTGTGTCTTCCTGCTTCTTGACCTGTATTCCCATTTTCCATTCCGTGTTCCTCTGCTGCTGTCTCTGACAGGACTTGATAGTTTCCCAGGTTCTGCTCTGACTGGAAAGAACAGGCATAATGGGGTAGAAAATCAAAATAGCATCTTTACACCGGATAAAGACTGGCTTGGAAGACGTTCATATCTTGTCTCTTGAAGACAAATGAGCTTCTTAATTCTGAGCCCCACATTAAAAGGACTTGCTGCCCCCATCACCAAGACCAGAGAGCACTGGGCCTTCTCAGACAGAGCAAAACTGTGCCCCTGAAGCCTGTCTTCCCTTCAAGGGTCTGACCAGTTCTTGCTTCCCAGCTTTGCCTGCCAGGATCAGCGGGTGACAGGCAGGCGGGGAGGAGCAGTGACGTTACACTAACAGGGTTCCCTCTAAATGGAAATCAATACCGGGAGTGGGGAAAACCCTGAATTTGGAAGATGACAGCAATGAGTTGGCATGAGGGCATCAGGCTCAGGGATGAAATACTCTCTGATTGGACTGAACATAAGCCAGGCTGAACGAGAGAACTGAAGAAGTGGAGAGGGGGCTAGGAAAGTAGTAGAGCTAATGGGCCAGGTTATTATTTCCTAATATCTTCATCACCCAGAGCTGCTGAATTGCTGAGATAGAAGTACGGACTGGTCAGTAGGCTCTGTGCTTGGGATCTAAGAGGAAGCTCATTTTTCTTTTTCTAGATAATCTACCTGCAAATAGTCAAATATTTATGGTCCTAGCTGATAAATAATTTCAGGGCTTAACTAAAATTAAAATTTCTCTGTAGTATTTATGTTTACTCCTTCAGTTCACACAGGACTTATTCTAATATTTTTCAGATATGTGACCTCCTTTTTGCAATAATAGGTATACATTGTATAATGATAGTAAAATGAGAGATGACATTTATTTTGCTTAAAGTACTTAGAATAACTCCCCTATATGCCAGTCTGTACAGAAAGGCTTTTGGTTATTTTTTAAGAAAGGTAGAAGTGACTTAGTTACAGGATATATTGTGATGGACATAATTCAGATCCAGACAGCTTACTCTGAGATTAGGGTGTTCCTCCTCTCAAAAGAGTATACAAGATGTTTGCATATTACTGTCCCTCAAACGCTAATTCTAACTGAACTGCTGCTGCTTTCCTTTTAAGTCCCCGATGGCTGATTAGCTATGAATTTCCTTCCAGTTACCAGCCATTTTGGAGGGCTGTGTAGATGAACAGCCAGTTTATTTGCTGCTCTTATGAATAACAAATATCTGGAGTGTTAAGTAAAACTTGAAATCTGCAGCTTTTCGTATATTAAGATGACCTACTTTCTGTAGAGTACTCTTGGGAAATCTAAGTGGGAGAGAATTTGTACTGACTCATGCACATTTTTAACTTAAGTGCATATTTCGTGTGAAGTCATTTTCATTGTTAAATCTGTAATCAAGAAAAAAAAAAGAAAGGCCAAAATGTGAACTGTAGGGTGAATAAAGCCTCCTAGTGTAGTTTTCTAAGTAAGGTATCAACATGCATGTTAAAATTATCTTAATCTCTGCAAGGTTGTGAGTGTTTTAGTTTTGAGGCTCAGAGAGTTAATTGGGTGTAGCCATGAGCATTTTTTAAAATTTTGTTTTGTTTTATTGCTGCTGGTTGGAAAGCAACCCTGCTGTCAAACTGGCACATGATTTTTAAATTATGTGAATACAGGGATGGGTAGCAGGAGGTGCAGATTCGCAGGTCTTGCTGTTGTTAAGTGTGTGCTTATCTCTAATTAAATCTGCATTTTTCCATAGACAGTGATCCCATCAGGCTTCCGAGTTGGAATGAAGCTTGAGGCTGTAGACAAAAAGAATCCTGCATTCATCTGTGTTGCTACGGTAACAGATATGGTGGACAATCGTTTCCTGGTGCATTTTGACAACTGGGATGAGAGCTATGACTATTGGTGAGAGGTTTTCCATTAATGCGTGCTTTTCAAAAATTTAATGTGTATCCAGGTAAACTAGGTGTACAGTTTAAAAATAGCTTATAACCAAAAATAACAGTGCTGTGCCCCACTTTTTCCTTTTTCAGAGTTTTAAATTTTAACATGTTCCATATTGCATGTATTTCTAGGTAACATCCTTCCATACTACTTCCTGATTTGTATTTTGCTTGTCTTTGTACTGTGGAAGTGGCATTCATGACCCCCACATTCCCAGCATAAACTGACACGCATGTGCACCCAGACATACACTTTCCCCTCATCTTGGGTATCTTCTATCATTTTTTAGGAACTTATTTTAATCTTTCTTTCACATTTTCATGCTCAGTAGCTAATTTAACCATTCATGATAGCTGAGTACCAATGTATTAATTGAGGAGTAATATTTTTAATTCTTACCATTTTTAGATAGTCTGCATAAAGCAGTAAGAGAAATATAAATGATAAATAGAAATATAAATGATGTAATTATAAAATAGCTGTAATAAAGCCATCATATTTTGATTAAACAATTGAACTAAGGATTTTCCATATCTGACTCATGTTCATTGACCTCTAGAATTCAGTTTTCTGATGAAAGACATTTGTACCGTCCAATTCAGCCTAGATGACTCTTGAAATGAAATTATTTTAGAGAAGTGACTAATGAGTTTGTAAAATATGGCTAATGTAGTATCAAGTGAATATTGATTTATGTAAATATAGCTAAATTTCTGAGAAATACTTTTTTTAGTATACATGTGTTTAAATATTCTATAGACACATCAGTAATTTCCATTGCTCCTCAAACTGAATTACTAGATACTCGAATATCCGTTTCCTTGCACTGTTTTTAAAAAAAGTGAGTCGAAATCCATTTGCTCTTCACATTCTTAAAGTACTTTTCACTCTATTTTACGTATGTGATTTACAGAAATTTTAAAAAATGTAGACAAGTCCTTGCATGATTACAGTACAAGGTTAATTAAGTCTTTTAGAATGTTTTTGTGGTTTTCTCTAGCTCTTTTGTCCAAGGCATTGTTTTTCTTCACAGAATGTCTTCATATTTGGCTTGTGATGAAAATTTTTTATTGAACTATAGGTATATGCAAAACTAGTGACAAAGTGGTCTTTCTGTGACCTTTATTTAACAGTAACCATTATCGACTTATATCTAGTATTGTCCCTCCTGTGTTTCTACTTTTAAACCTCAATTCTAAGATTGTTTTGATGCCAACTCTATGATTCAATTTGTATGTTTTAAAAGTGAGAGCTCTTTTTCTTTTTTACAAATATAGCTATAATGTCACCAACATGCTTAACTGTGTTTTTTCCAGTTGTGTTAATGATTGCATTTTTTTTTTTTTGGTACCGGGGATTGAACTCAGGACTTTGTGCTTGTGAGGCAGGCAGCGGAACCACTGAACTAAATCCTCGGCCCCAGTGATTGCATTTTTTAAAAATGTTTTTAGGTCCAAATAAGTTATATGCTTTGTGATTGCTTTGATGTTTTTCTTGATTGCTTAGTTTTCAGATCCCTCTTCCTCTCTCGTTTTTTCTTCTGCTTATACCCTCTATTGAAGAGACCAGGCAGTTGGTACAGTTGCATCTCTCACAGTCCAGATTTGCTGGTTGAATCTTCATTATGCCATGTTTTTCCATTCCTGAGATTTCCTCTGTAAATCGATGCCATTCATTTCATTTAAAATTGTCCATATTTATTTTGCATGGGTGAATGGATGAGAAAACTTTAAATTTAGAAATAGCCTAGTCTGTCTGAGTTGAACATATTTATCTTCTCTGCATTGCATGGATTTTGACACTGGAAGTACCAGTGTGGTATGTTGGATACAGGCCTTTTAGTAATAAGTGATACTGAGTCAGTTGCTAGGTTTTGTTGAGATGAGAGTGGCTTTTGTTTCTTTGTTTGATTGATCGATTGTTTTGTTTGAGCAGTGGTGGGGATGGAACCCAGGGCCTCACGTATGCCAGGCAAATGCTCAGCACTGGGTTATACCCCTAGCCTTTGCTTTGTTTTTAAAGTTCTGGTTCATTTTGGGAGAGTTTTTTTTTTTTTAATTTTAAGGTTTTTTGTGATTTGAAAAAATGGGTGGATAGTAGTTTCCTACAGTATTTTAAAAATACAAATTGATTATTTGATGCATATTGCTTTTCATAATATTCTGGAAAAAAATAATGAGGCGGTCTAGAAGAATTTGTCACACCGGGTTTCCTTGATGCCAAATTTATAAGGATCAAACAGAACAGATCTTATAGGTTCTTTTTTAGAAAGGACAAAGAAAGTACTAATATCTTATAAACTCCAATTTCGCACTTTTGTGAGCACAAACTCATAATTGTTTTTTAGGATAGAATATACTTTGAGGATTACTTACTACTGGTGACATGAAATCATATTTTGTTAACTGTCAAAGAAAGAATACAGTATGTTTTCTTCCTCAACTCACGGTTAATATATTTAGAAAATTGCTTAAATGCGCTGGAATTTCTCCAGGTATATTAAACACTGTATTCTTTGATCTTTTCATTTGGAATGGTTTTTATTTGCATAACTTACTTGGGTGTGTAATTGAGGCTGCAGATCAGCTTGCCTTTCTTGATTTAAAATAGCTTTGAAATGAAAAATTTTTTGTTTGAATGGATAGCAATCCTGTATATCTTTACATTAGTGTGAATTTGAAAACATATATGTGTGTATATATATATATATATATATATATATATATGTCTGTATATATTTGTGGTACAGGTTTAGTTTCAGTGAAGCATTTCTTCTAAAGAGGAACATGATGGCAATTTATGTAGGGTTGAAAAAGTATTTTATGAAAGGAAAATAGTATGCACGAGAGTAAAAATAGCTTTATCTCTAGATTTCTTCTGAGCTGGTTGTCAGCTGTTTTAACTCTCTTGCCTCAACAATCTTTGGACCTAAGAATAATTCTAAAGACCACAAAATATTCTTGTAGGAAGAGAAGGGACTATAAAGATCCAGGAAGGAAAGCAAGGACCTAGAGAGATAGTCCCAGCACTCCCCGCACTGGGTGCAGCCTCTTACCCTTCTCATCTTCTGGATGCTTAGGGTTCGGCTCTGGGCCACAGCCAGGAACAAGAGCGCACGCGCGCGCGCACACACACACACACACACACACACACCCAGCACTGGGAAAGAACTTCCTTCTACGAAATGTTACTTTCTTGTGACCTTGTCTTTTGGGAAGAAGCATAACAACAGGACGTATCCTGTTGTTAAGTAGAAAGAACAAATGAGATCGCAGGATCAGCCAGCTTGGAACCCTTTCCGATGGTGCCCGGTGAGTCGGGGATCAATCAGCAATGAGCAGATCTGAAAAAGAAGGGGCAACTCAGTGAATTAGTATAAGCCTTAGGCGGTCTCTTTTCCTGCTTGTGCCACATGCATTACAAACTGCTTTTAGAGGTGGATCTCTTACATTTATGAATTGAGAGTAATGGTGATGTTGCATGTCTCCCTATAGTAATGCCTGAGAGTTTGCAGGGCAGTGAGTTGAGCAGTGTCTTAGCTAACAGGCTTGTCACCACTCGGTTAGAGTGGAGAAGCAGGAGGCTGAGAGAGGACGCCTATGGAGATGGATGGGACCCTGGGCAGTTCTGAACTTCAGCCCCGAGGACTGACCTGGGGAAGAATAGAAGCAGAACAGCACCAATTGGATTTGTAATGAGTGCTTACTTGTTAGAAACCATCTCCTTCTGTCTGGTGGCACAGGAAGGGAAGGACCAGCTCAGGCTCACTGGAGGGTTCTTGAGGAAGGCTTCTTGGGTGTCACAGCATTTGCATTCGACCATGAAGGAAGAAAGGAGTTGCTTCTTAGATGTTGGCATGGAGTGTGCCTGGCCAAGGAAACCATTGTGTTGGCCCAGGGGTAGGGTGTATTTAGAGAATGACAACTAATTTATTTGGTAAATTACTTAACTCTTCTAAACTTTCATTGCCCTCTTTCCAAAATAAATTAAGAATAACCTCTATCTTACCGTGCATTGTGAGGATTAGGAGTTCTAGGATCTAGGAAACTAACCTGCAGAAGGTTGGAGAGATGACCATCAGGGACGGCAGAGGAGTTTGGTGCTGAAAGGAAAAGAAGATGATTCCCAGGGCAGTCTGTGTCCACAGAGGGTTCCTTGCACTTGGAGCAATTTGAGCTGGGTTTTTAGGCAGGAGGAAGGTCTCAAACCACTGTGAAGAGAGAGTGTGCAAATATTTAAAATGGGATTATTGGTGACACCAGTAAAGTCTCATCTCTCTCAGCCCGGAGAAAAAGAAATCAAAGGAAAATCGGGCAGCAGAGCGGTGGCATAGCATCCCCTTGGTGTTTCCCAAGTTGCTATGTTAGGAGAGATTTTCATCTTGAAGCAAATTAATTAATATTTACAAGAGCTGCGGTGGAGAATGAGACTGACTATAAATCAGGGATGGAAATTGGGACTCAGCCTGCTGAGGTTTGGGGTTTAGTCAGGAGGGAGAGAGACCCGAGAGTGAGCAGGAAGCCAGGAGAGCTGGATACGGACTCGCACACTGCAGAGTCGTGCTCTGAGTTGAGAGAGTGGGAAAGGCTGCTGTTCTGCAGCTCTCCAAAGAACTCACACCATGACTGCTTGAAACAGACACAAAATAAGCTCCTTGCGATGACCTGGTTTGACTCTGCTCGGTCTGTGGAACCCTGCACGTGTGCATTAGTTTTGCTCAGTTTTTGGCTGTGGCTGATAAAGTAGAGTCTATCTTTCACCCAAAGGCTTGATGAACTCACTTAACCTCTTTGTGTTTCCATAAAATAATCTTCATGTCTGCTCACTTTATCTTTATATAGTAAACATGGATTTTTCATGAATATTTTACTTAGTTTCTCACCCTTTCAAAATGCATCAGCCTGGATCTAGGGTGAATTTTAGCAGCCTTTTGGAATAAGATTTACTTTCTTAAAAAATTT